TGTTTAGTGAATCTGATCCTGAATTTGATCAAAAACACGAAAAAGCAATACTTGAAGTTAAAGATTTGGAGGATAAAAGAAAAGTTGTTAACAAAGAAATTCAAGAACTAGAAAAAGAATATAATGATTCATTAGAAAAGGAACAAACTAAGTTAGAAACTAACATTGGTATTGCAGTTGGTGCTTTAAAAAATGATCTTAGAACTCCTGGAGTAGGTAGTCGCAAGTTTTTTGAATTAATATGTGAATATAATGATCTTCAGTCAAGAGAATTATATAAACCTGCTACTCCTGCTACTGCTAATAGTTATGGTTCAGTGATCAAAACTGGTTATAATGGGAATAATAAACCTTATACTCATCCAATTTATTTATGTATGGATTTTCAAGGTCAAATTTGAACTCTTTCAAAAGATATAGATAAAGATAAACTTTTTGATTATATTTCTTCTTCAGCTTGTACTTGAAATGCTAATAAAAAGAAAAGGTTTAAACAAGTATTTACTCAAGTTGCAAATTTGCAACTTAAACTTAAAAACTTTGGTGATAAAAGTATGATGTCTGAAATAACTAATGAAGGATATAAAAGAGAAAATACAGAAACTCATCGATATATGAGTGACATTTTTCTATAATGCATGCTCTCTTTCCCAAAGATAGTAATTACCAAGATAGTCCTTTCGTAAAAGTTGGTCAAAAGAGTTGTTTACAGTTTAAAGACAATAAGGATGTGAATACTCCTTATTCTATTCTTTGACAAGGAGAAGATGCCAGCATTTTTGGTAAGAATTATTCACTTACTAGTCCCAGTATTTTAAGAGCTCCTTTTCCTTGTGAAGAAAAATATTTAACTTGGGCTAATGGTCAAATCCCAGAATTCTTTTGACAAGTTTATAATAATGATGAAGCCATTCAATTTACTGCCTATCATGAAGTATTAGGTCCTGATGCAGCTACTATGGTAAAAATTTGTGAAGAAAAAATAACTGTTTATGAGAAAAAAATTCATGGAGAAGAATTAACTAAATGAAGTTATGGTAGTGATTATTTAGATGTTAAAATTTTCAAAGATACCAATGGGAATACTTTGGTTGATGTGGATGCACTTAGAAGTGAGTGAGGAAGTGTTGCTGAGGAAATTTTTTCAACTTTTAGATATAGTACCTTTTCAACTTTCTCCTGTAGAGACAAAGGATTGACCTCTGCTCAAATAAAAGATAAAATTACTGATTTTATTGATAGCTCTGTTAAATTAATAACAGCATATTCAGAAAATGAAATTGACCAATTGACCAACCCAGTGGCTGATAGTAAGAGTGTGATCAATGGATGAGATAAATGGCTGAATATTACTGATGCTAAAAGAAAAAAGTTGGATGAAGCAAAGGCTAAATGAGGTAAAAAATGAAGTGAACTAGCTGAAATTAATTCTAGAAAAGTAAAAGCCAGAACTGAATTAGAAGCAGCTGAAAAAGTAAGAGAAGATGCTAAAAAATTACGGGTAAGTGGTTTAATCTATAATCACTCAATTTAAAACCTTTCATGATAAAGCAGGCAAAAGAAGTTAGCAAGAACTATTATTTATGCGCAATATTTTGGGGTGGATAAAAAAGTGAGAAAGTTTAAAACTTTTGATCCAGCCACAGAATTAGCCAAATTAGATGCAGCTGAAACTGCTAATCAAGGTACTCTGGCTAAATATAATAATTGAGTCAAACAAGGTACTCACTTTACTGAAAGGTTAGATAATTGAAAAAATGATGATGGCAAATACTTTAATGAGGAAGCAGTAAAGCTTTATTTAAAAGGAATAAAGGATGCTTTAGAATCAGTGGGACAGGGATTAAATGGGGCATGCTGCAACAAAACCAGACAAAGTGAACATTCTGAAATAAGAGGCTGATGTGGCTGAAAGTTAACTAATTTGACTAATACTAATGACATTTTGAAAGGTAATAATGGTGCTCATTCATAACTTGGACTTGTTAATTTTAATGTTCACTTTATCATACCA